AAGTAGATTGCGACGCTGCTGCCTTTGCCTTCCCCGCTTCGACTCCTTTTTCCCTATTTCCCTATTTCCCTTTCCTTCCTTCCTCTTTTCTTCCCCCCCCCCTCCCTTTCGTAGTTCTGGTTTGTCTCAATCCTTTCACTATCCTAGGACCTGGCCTTAATTACCATCAGCACATTCTCCGTCAACAGTTCATCCTTTCTTCTTTCTACAGTCAGCTCCGCGTCGTGGGTCCTCGTGGCGAGGTCTGCGGTCGCATAGTACTTGCCGTTCGATCGGCTGATATCCAATAGAGCTTTAAATTACCCGAGCGCAGTCAAAATCCATCGTCTTTCTCGTCTCTCGTCATGAGCGCCGGTGCCAGTCATCATCAGGGCGGCCGGTCTCAGGAGGAGCTGTTCCTGACTACCGCCACACCACAGCCATCGCAAACGGAGTCGCCGGTTATTGAACCACTGCGCATCAACAAACGAGAATCCCCTTCCCCAGCCTCATCGAACGGCATTGTTCTGCCCTATCCGGATGACCGGCAGAGGCCCCAACAGGTTCGGCCCGCGGGTTCCAGTGGTTCTAGTCCTATCAGCCCAGCAGCGGTATCTTGCGATTCTCCCACCGTCCCCAATCATATCTCCTCGCGGCCTTCAGGGTTTCCTACAGCTTTGCGGCCCCGTGAAGGACGTGAACCCAAGCAAGCAACTCTAGCTGAGCGGCGAGGGAACGTCCCAAAGCCGCTCCCTGAATCTCCCAGCGGCGATTCTCCAGACAGAGAAGGATTATTCGCTAGAATTCACCCCCGCTTCCCGGCTCCTGCAGTGTCAAACGACGGCGCATACCCCCAAAACAGCATTCCCGAGCAACAACACACGCTTTACTACCCGCCTCCGCAAGCGTCCCCGAGACCAACAGCCTCGCAGAATGATTTGCAGCCGAATAGCACAATCAATCGAATCAGCTCTACAGCCTCGAATTCGACGACTCGTGCTCAACGTGGCTCGCCACCGCCACCGGAGACTCCGGTGATAGAACCTGGACAACATCCAGCATCGGATATCGAGGCTCGATACGCAGCTTCTGGGATAGCTGGGACTTCGACACTGGCAGGCTTGCAAGCACGAAGCGCTGCCGCCCAGAGGAGAGCAGAGCAATATGCAGGACAACAGCCTCGAAGTCGACAACCAGCGCCTGAGATTCCGCGGCCGTGGACTCCGACCGAACAACCTGGCACGCAACCTCATGGGCCACCTACTGTATATCAAGGGGCAGGGGTTGTATCGGATGAGGATCGTCCAGCACCAAGCAGAGAACCAGAAGAGGCCTCGTACCAGGCTGCGCCGGCTCAGCAACCGACGAGGATCCCCCCAAATGCTCTTGAAAATGACCTTGAGCGCATGCGGATTAGCTCCTCCCCCCCGCCCGCCTATTCAAGTGTATCAGGGCCCGCAACCTCACAAGCCTATTCCGCTGAGAAGCAGCGGCCTGTAGCATTGGCGGGACAGCAACCTGTCACAGACGCTCACCCTAACGCTACGAGCCCCACAGGTAGTGCCTCTCATGCCACTGCACCCGTTGCATCCGCTCACCCAGCCTTTGCAAATGATTTGCGACGTCAGGGGTCACTGGCGGTGTCGCCCGAGGCTGGCGGGCAGGCATTGTCGTCGCAGAACGGTCATCACCCCGTTCTCCAACCAGCTCAGGTGAATACGTTGTCGTCCGCGTCGTCTGGACTTCCACCGGCTTCTCCGCCACCACTACCCGAAGGGTGGATCGCTCACCTGGACTCCAACTCCGGCCAATATTATTACATTCATCTGCCCACTCAATCAACTCAGTGGGAATTTCCCAAAGGGCCAACGCCCTTGAATCTCAATGACACTCCATTGTCCCCGGTAGGCAGCGTGTACAGCAGTCACCCTCTGGCTTCGCCGGTATTCTCAGCATTTGGTAAGCCGCTGACCTCTCCTGGTCTTCCTTTGACCCCAGGATACGAAAGCCTGCAATCCCCTGTTGTAGCAGGGTTCAGTGGGCCTCCTCCAAGTAATGGGATAGACTTGTATAAAGTTGCACCGACCAACGGTGTATACTTTGGCCCGTATCTCCGCTACACCAATATGGATGTCGAGCGAGGCATTTGGATGGGCTCCATCCTTCTAGTCACCGATGCGGCGCAACCTCCTACAATACATATCCATCAAAGTATCGATCTTTCACCGAATCCACGTCAATTGAAGGCGACACCTATCGCTGTGCACCAGCGTTGGACCTTCTACAAGTATGAGATTGATCTACAGATGGATGAAACAGGGCCTGCTAAGTGGACCTACGCCATCACGTCCCACTTGGGCTGCACACGGTATGAGTTCCTGATCGCAGGGCGATACGAAACAAGCTGGCGCTTTATTACTACGTCTGGCAACGATTTCTCCTTGAATGTGAATGCCAATGAACGTTCCCGGCTTGGGGGTGTAGGGTTCATGTGGAAAGATATTATGCAGAAACATAACGAAATCGGGGGATTCCATGTGCAACTCTGCCTTGGAGGTCAGATCTATGCTGATCGTATGTGGAAGGAGATTTCGTGTCTGAAGCAGTGGCTTGCAATGAGCGGAAAGGAGACGCGAAAAAACGCGCCGTGGACCACAGCTCACGAAGAAGACGTTTCCCATGCGTACTTCCATTATTACACGAGCCATTTTGATCAACCCTATCTGCGCGAGTCATTCGCACAGGTCCCATATGTCTGCCAGATCGACGACCATGACATGTAAGTGCATTCACACCACGAACAAATAGCTGCGACTAATGATTCCAGCTTTGACGGATATGGCTCATACCCGGAGCACATGCAATTCTCGAACATGTTCAAGAACATAGGCCGAATTGGAACGGAGATGTATCTGCTCTTCCAGCACCATACCACTCTGGATCTACTCCGCAGCACCAGGACCGACACCGATTTATTCACGATAACCGGTACTGGCTGGCATTTTGTGAAATACCTGGGACCCGCTGTAGTCGTCGTTGGGCTAGATTGTCGATCAGAGCGCAACCCACACCAGGTCATAGCTGGACCAACATATCAAGGCATCTTTCCCAAAGTGGCAATGCTCCCTGCTAATGTGCAACACTGCCTGTGGATGCTCTCGGTACCCATTATTTATCCACGGCTAGAGACAGCAGAACATATAGCACATACGGTTGCAACGGGAAAGAGGGCCGTGACCGGGGCATACAATGTTCTTGGGAAAGTTACCAGCTCCGTAGCCGGTGTGGTCGGAGCCAAGGACGTTGTAGGCTCCGGGTTTAATTCTGTCAAGCGTGCTGTGGGAAAGTCTGGTCTCATGGGCGGAATTCTTAGCCCATTCGGGGAGCTAGACCTATTAGATGAGCTTCGAGACCAATGGACACACGAATCCAAGGTAGGTGAGCTCCTCCCCGACCGTTCAAGACCGATCATTAACGGAGGCATACAGGATCTCGAGAGAACCTATCTGATTCGCACCCTTCAGGGTATCTCTCATCAGAAGTCCTTGCGCATGACCTTCCTCTCTGGTGCTGTGAATGCTTGCGGTGCTGGACTAGTGCATGATCCAGCTCATCCCTCAAATCATAAGACAATGTACCAACTAATCTCCTCGCCGGTTGTGAACAGTCCCCCGCCCTCATATGTCATGAAAATGCTTCACAGCAACAACAAGCCCCTCTATATTCCCGCCAACGGCCATCGCTCGACGCCATCACAGCCAACTGACACTAAAGAAGATATGATGGAGATCTTCCAATCTGACGTGACAGGACAAAGTCGTGAGCACCGCAAGCTGATGGGCCGTCGAAATTATGTGGCTATCGTTGCTTATGATCCAGATGCTGTAAACACGATGTATGGGCAAGCTATTTCGAACCCTGGAAGTGGCAGGTTAAACCTTGCTGCGGATTTCATGGTTCAGGGAGATGGAACTTTTGGGACGGTTGTGAAATATGGACCGGTAATTGTCCCTAGTTTGGAACCTGGAAAGTGAACCGGAGGAGGAATCTATATTTCTCTCAACGCCACCCTTCTACCTTTTTCTCTCAAGTCCTAACTCCATACTAAGACCTTTGATGGAAGATCAGGTCTGGCTATGATGTTTCTATTCGCGTGGCATAGTTCAGATTAGTAGTACCTAGTATCTGCTCAGAGGATGCTTCAGCATGTATTTTGTTCTGCCATTAGCCCTTTGTCTTGTATAATAATGTCACGTCATACACATTATCCCTGCAATGCTGCTAAACCGCAGTGTCAACAAGAGAGCTGGACCATGAGGCCGGCTATAGTAGGTATTGTCTTAACGGGGCACCGGCACATTCCTGCCTTTGAAATGCCGTGTTATCTCCTACCGTTCAGATAATCGACCACTGGTCAAAGTAGAATAGAAATAATTTAGCCAGGCATCCTATGTAGGACAGTCCGGTAGGCCACTGGGTAGAATCGATACCAAAGAACTAAGCATATGGTGTTTCACAAGGGATGTTGATTCTTGGACACTCACTATCTCACGCCTTCAAATGAGGTATCAACCATGCTGTGGTGATATCATAAGGGGGAGAAGGATCTTCAAGACGATAACACGATGGGACCAAGCAAGTGAGAAAGCAGGAAGCTCATAGGTCTGGCTACGCATGGGCTAGAGAGAGCTAGAATCGACAGCCCTTCCCTCCACCCCCCCCGCGTCCCTCCTTATTCTCGACATCGATGGCTTAAAGGTATGATGAGTAGTGATGCAGTAGACCACGTTGCATATTCCCGGTTCGAGAATGGTGGCGTCATTGGGCTTTTTACAACAAAAAGGTCTCCCTGCTGTAGAAGACACAGAAGAGTCTCACAAAGGTCGCAGCTAAATAAATTTGGTCATTTTACTCATAACAGGCAGGAGGTTGCAGAAGCCTACGGGCGCGGCCTTCCGCTTGGCCATCCTTGCATTGGCCAATACTCAATGAACGTGCAGAGTTTATTATTCTTTCTTCCACTCTGAAGTATGATGATGTACTATAGTCTCAAGGTTCAACTAAGACTAACCTGCTGCACGAGACACGATTTGAGAGTACAGTAAGATCGCTCAATGTAGTCAATTCTCACGACCATCCTAGGTTTATTCCCTGACAAATAGAGCATGCGCCTTTAAAGAATTACATACGCAATGGCTTTTCTCCCAAGCGATATCGATCGGTTATTACCCCTTGCCAGTTGGGTCACCCCCCGGGATACAAAGCCCCAGTCGCCAGAAGTAGTCTCGATGAGAGAAGAATAACTCCCATAAATGCAAACGCGGTGGGTACAAATGCCAGTGGAATCTTCGCCATGTTTCATGGCGAAACTGTCCCTTATCCTGCGATTTTAGGATATAACCTTCAAGCGAAGACACATGCATCGGCGCCTGTTGTTCCTTCGAAGCAGGAGGCGCATCGACACTCTGTGGTCGTACGAGAAGGGTGGGCGTTTCGCGAAGTGCGAGCCTCAAAGTGTGGTCCGCACCGGATATGCATCGTTCGTCCTTGTTACCCTCGCAGACCCTGACATCAGACACTGATGGTGGAAGGTCTTCTTTCGCGATAAAGAGCTCTCCCGCATGCATTTCGTAGCCCCATTCCGCAAGTGGTAAGAGCGGAACAGGGTCATTGATATGGGTAACACGGTGGAATCTGTAACGTTCGACGGGAACAGATGCCGCTCCCCTTGGTAGTTCAAACAACCTGGCAAGATAATCGGCGAAACCCTGGTTTCCAACCTTCGGTTCTCCGAACGTTGTCACCGTTGGTTCCCAGCCCCGTAGCTGCATCTCCACCCCAGCTAGGGCAGCGACAGCTCCGCCTAGGGAGTGGCCAACTAGAGACAGGTCGTAGTCAGGATATTGTAGCCTTGCGGCAGAGACATAGCCCAGGACGACCGAGCGTGCGTTCTGCCAGGATGACATGAACCCCGCATGGACGGTACACTCTTCACAATGGAGCGTCCCCGATTCATTACCAGTGTCGTTTTCCGGGTCGTACGGGACGTAGCTTTGCGGATAAGCGGAGAGATCGATTATGGTGTTTGCGATCGAATAGGTGCCGCGAAAAGCGACGATGATCCTCTTTGGTGACGGCGGATGAGAAAGGGCGATATAACCGCAGGAGTCCGACAGTAAAGGTCCTGTATTCCATACCTACTAGGGTGCGCGGAATTAGAGATAGGCCAACTTCTTCGCCGCATCAGAGACGAGGCACCTACTGATATCAACTCGAATCCTTCCAGGTCGGCGCAGTGACTGAGACACTCGAATGGTTTTCGGAGCCCGGTGTTGCCGACACAGTAAGAGACATCAACCACGCGTGCGAGCTGGTTCAGTTCAAGAAAAAGGCTGTTGGGAATCGACCGCTGAGCTTCATTGAGCGAGATCCGTTCAAGTTCGGCGGAAGAGACTGTGCGGCGGACAAGCAAGACAAGTGATACAGAGGCTAAAGCGAGAAGGATGTAGAAGATGTCCCGACGACTTGAATTTACGGCCATGATAGACTTTCGGTCCTAGATCTCAGAATCGTTGTCATCTATCATTCATGATGCAGCGGTCTGGGAGGCCGTCGTGGTCGTGCTTGTTTGAAACAATGGCTCGTGACGAGCGGCAAGGCGTGACGTCGAAGAATCCGGGGAAAATTACGACCAGGGTGGATCCATAGTTTCAAGGGTTTACAGTAACTTACATGCTATACTGTACTACGTTCCATGGCACAATACCCAGTACAGTACAAGCTTTTATTAATTTGCACAATCTACAGCCGACACAACCAACCAGATTCTATGTACTTCAAGGTGTTTATAAAGCGACAAGCGCCCCTTGTCACACAATTTAAATAGGTTCCGAAGGCGGGGCAACAGAGTACTAAGCCAAGGCACCTGGCCCTTCACGAACAATGCATCATCAAATGTGTTGACAACCGTCTATATGGTCCAGACAACGACACGGCCATCAACCCCACTCGCTGTAATCCATAAAGTTAGTAAAGCTCCTACAGACAAGGGTCAAATCAAGTGGTAGAATCTCACTGCTAAATTTGCGCAGAACACCATCGGTCTCCTCATACACCCTCACGGTACTGATGGTATTCTGGTGGGTTGACTTGAGTTGAATATCAGCTTGAGTCTGCCCCTTGAGATCCATCTGACGGAACATGTGCAGGGCGGATTCTTCCCGCGCGGTACCGGCACCTGGCCCTGTCTTGTTCTCTATGGTCCCTGTAAGCTGCCATCCACTCTCGCCGCCGCGAAGACGGTAAGGTTCACAATCCTAAATCGGCGAGTTAGCTTTGAAGTCATGCAAGTCCCGCGAGATGTCACAATGTCTTACGTGACCGGCAGCGATAATTTCGTTCTCTCCATTCCAAATGAGACTTGTAAATGGCAGTAAACGAGTAGTGACGTTCAGCATCGCTCGAGGGGGCTGTTCTGGGGCACTCGGGTAAACGACAGTGACGCTGCTATCATGGCCAGTAAATGCGAGGGCGTTTCCACTGGGAGAAAATGAGACTCCATGGATCCAGCCAGCGGAGTCATTCAAAAACTCGCCGCAAATGGTGTTAAATGGGAGACGCTCTCCCCAGGCACTCGGCTCCGGACGTGTATCGACGCCTTTGATGAAGCTAGAGAAGACTCTGGCATGAGAGTCGGTGGAGCCTGCAGCCAAGAGCACCGAGTTCGGATGCCATGCGAGAGTTGTAATAGTGCTCCGAATCGGTTTCTTCAAGTGCTTTGAGATCCACCAGTCGTTCTCCTCTTCGAAATAACACACAGCGATTACACGGGCACCTGAACCAACGGCGAACTTCTGCTCCGATGGCGACCATCTAACGAAAGTTGCTGCTCGGTTTATGCGGAGTAATACGAGAGTTGGCTTCCAGCCCGATGGAGTGCGCTCCCATACGTATGCATTGCGATCTGTGTTATATCACGGTGTTAGACAAGTGCCGAAGTAGAACACAAGAAAGGGGAGACGAGATACCCTGTGAGCAAGTAACAATACGGCCACTATTAGGAGCAATGTCCACGCCGGTCACAGTCTTCTCGTGGCCTTTGAGCTCATCAGTCAGTGAGAACTTGGCACCTGATTTCTGGTAGAGCTCCACATTGCTATCTCGCGCAACCGCAAGTGTTGATTTGTCGGGAGAGAAAGAATGGTCGGCGATCGGATTATGGAAGAGATGATGAATTTCAGGAGCAGCCATTGTAACGATAATGACAGGAGGAGCTCTCTACTGTCGAAGCGATTAGGTAGCTGGTGATAGCTCAGGAGAGGAGTGTGTACGTGGAAGTGAGAGAAAGTGGGGGAGAGGGGATGAATGGTCAATTACGGGGCATGTGTACTTTACTAACAATGACGCGGAGGACCGGTCCGATTAGATAATACATCACATGACCCTAGATCGCTCAGTTGTTCAGGTGTTTCTGGCTGCGCAGACTTTATTCTCCTTGGTTTTTAATGTCCTTCTTGAGCTCAATTGCATACTGCGTTCCTTCCATTTTAACGCTTCCCGCCTCTCCTTCTCCAATTCAATCACCGCCTGTCGATAATGAGTACGAAAATCATACCTGCACGCGGCGGCGCTCAAAGTAAACCGCCTTTGAGTGGCCTCCCTAATCAAACGTGAGATTACCTGCCACTCATATACGAGACCACAGAGCTGATCCTTCATAGTTTATATTGTACGAATTTACCGGACAAACTTCGGAAACATGATTTGCGACTGTCCCTCTACATGCTTTTCTCCACATACGGCACTGTTCTAGATGTTGTCGCGATGAAAACCGAGAAAATGCGTGGCCAGGCTCATATTGTGTTCAAGGATGTCCAAGCTAGTACGCAAGCTATGCGCGCTCTTCAGGGGTTCGAGTTCTTTGGCAAGCAAATGGTAAAACTTACTCCTATGACTGTTATTCTTCGTTTGCTAACGTAAGGGCCAATGCAGAAAATTATGTATGCCAAAGGCACTTCAGACGTTATCGCTAGACTTCGTGGAACCTATAACCTGTCGGTCACTACCTCCGGTGGGCAAGCTGTGGCGGCGTCTACTGAGCTGCAAAAGTCAATCTTTGGCGGACCTCCTGGGTCAGCAACACTGCCCCCGAAACATACCGGGGAGGTCAACGGAGAGGAGCCGACAGCTCACGGGTTAAAAAGGCCGCGTGAGGAAGAAAGTGACGAAGAGGATGCTCCCATGGATGAAGATAGTGATGTTCCTATGGAAGCATCCTCCGACGAAGACTAAGTCCCCAAATAGTGCCCCAAGGCATATGCGCTCCTGGTCTCTGTTGGTCGACCGAGTTCCGGGGACATGTCAGTCTAGAAGTGCTCTGAAAGCTGAATCTGCGAGATTTCAAGACCTCGAATTCCCTCGCATCTCATCTGTCGCGAAGAAATTCCTTGGCAGCTGAAGACCCAACCGATTTCCGACTAATCCGAGCCAAATGATGAGATACGTCTCGGGGGTGACACGCCGGTGTCCTGCGATTTGCCTCATAACATCCGCAGTGTTGCACGGGTGGACGAAGAATGCTGGAGTTCCGGATTCTGGATGATACTACAAATTATAAGCTCTAGCTTGAGCTAGGGTTCTGAATACTTGCACATACACCCAGACTAATCCCACCCATGACACCCACGCTTTGGAGTTCCTCTCTGTATTGGCTCGGTACCAAATATCGGTAGACTGCGTCGATCCCCAACGGTCCGGGATGATCAGTCGGCTGTAAATTGAAATACAGGACGGGGACTTGGTAGGTGGGCGAAAGAAGGACGTCATAAACTACGTGTAAGCTGACGCTGGGCTCGGGTGTACGGATGAGAGCTTCCTGTTCATAGCGTGTTAGATGTCGCTTTGTTTCAAATCAATCACAATGACGTTGGATGTTTCACGGACAGGGTCATCTTCGTAAGCCTCTGTATACCGTTCTCGGATCGGGTCGTCTGCCGAGGATTGACTATTGTATGCGGGGATACTGACGTGAGAGATCCGCCGTGTTATTCTCAAAATCGGACCAATTGCCTAGTAAATTAGCTCACTGTGTTACATGGCAATCACAGAGTACAGGAGCATGGATTCAATAGTTGCACAGCCCTAAGTTGAAGTGCACATCCCACATCTATGAACCTCCACTTGTGGCGCTAATGGGAAAGGTATCCTTCCATGATGCATAATTTGAATGTAAACCTTTTTAGGTATATGATAATTCATAGAGAGACTGGCAGCGAGATGTGTCGCAAGATACGTGGAGGGAAGAGTGAGAGCCACCAGAAACTAACCCGTTGAGCATATTGACAAGTCAGCCGCCCCATCAAAGACTCATTTGCCACGTGAACCCGATCGAGGAATTGGTTACAGGCAGAATCGAACTCTTTGTCCGTGAGCAAAGGAAAGATCGCCAAGGCCGGATGCTGGCTGGAAGTTGAAAGCTCCATGCGACAAGTAAAGACGCGGTGTAATCCGACTACTGACCGACAGGATCGCAGAAGATTTCGGGGATGCGCAAGAAGTTGGGCTTATAAACGCCGTTTTCATTCGAAGGATTTGAAGGAGCGGGCCCCCCAAGCTTCTAAAGCGGTAAGGGAGAGAGAGAGAGCCTGGAGGTCCCACTGCCAGCAGTTTCAAGAGTCACGACCTCATTCATCCACAAACTGCCGGTAACTACTCCATACCGTACACCTGGACAGACTAGTTTGATCTTCTAGACCTCCGTATAGTATTACACCTGAAATTTGTTATACAAGTCAGGGTGAGCTCGAGTACGCCTTCAATTATTTGACTGATTTAGTGTCTTACTAAAAGGAAAGAGGCGACTAGGCACTGCAATTATGGTTGATGGATGGTGTGCTGTAAATACGGAGTACTGAGTATTTAAGTAGGTCTTTAGGGGCAAAAGTCAGTCAAGGATTGACTAGCAAAGGGTTGTGTATGACTACTTTCACATGGTAACTTCAGTACGGAGTACTCGGTACTGTACCGGTTTGTACAGAGTACTCCGTACATATGACAGAATGACAATTGATTGAAACCATTCATGGTTCCTCTTTGCAACCACTGAATTCGCTCACAATGCACATCAACTTGGCGCAAACCGGGACTTGGGAATGAGACAAGTCAGCATTCGACAAACGGATTAAGTTGCCCAGGTCCTTCAAGGTTCCCGCCTGGCACCACTGAATGCGGCCAGGAGTGAGCAAAGAGTGTGCCAATCATAGGGCGCCATCTCTGTCAACCGACAAGCTTTTTCCCCTGAGATGATCCACAGCAGGTCCTAAGTCCAACTACAGTATCCGTACTACTAGGTAGGTAAGTGCCCCCTGGTCCTGACGATCCATTTGCCAAATCTCTATGTACGTACAAGACATGATATGTACTGCTTTGTACAGTACTTCAAGATACGTAGACCAGACTAATTACTGCACTGAGCACTGCCTAAGTGATAGGTACGGATACAGCACAGTACGTACTGTAGAAGTACAAGGTACAGTATACAGTACTTAGTTGTACAGTATTATACGCTACCAGGTAGTACTTACCCTACTAGTTTAACTACACAAAAGGGAGCTTTCTTCTCTTCCTGACAGGATACGTTTCCCCTCAACGTGCCACTTTCTTTGTCCGCATTCGTCGGGGTTGCCCTTCGGCCTTTCATGCAACTTCTCTTTACAGAAAAATATTTACCACTTCCTTTGGGTGTTTGATTCCCAGCGCTCGTATGCTGATTTTCATAGTAGTCCAGGGCCCAGAGCCCCTCGTAATGGAGAGAGGTTGACAATCATACCAGTAGACTCTTGTAATTTTATGGAGTTTAGTAGATAAACGCAATTGAGTGGCTAATTGAAGAATAAAGAATAGCGGTCGTGACATCTAGCTGGTTTGTGTTCCGACCGTCAGACCGTCTGCAAGCTGTCGATCCGTTCGTCTCCATACGCATCCGTCTTCTATCGTCATTACCACAGTGTGTCTTGTTGTGTGCATCCCCCTCAACCATGGCAGAACCAGTGGAGCTCCACCTCTTTTATGTATTTCATTTCCCTTGCTTATCTACCTCGGATTCTAATCCTTAATCTATTTGGCTGTCCGTTTGGCTAGATCTGATTTATCTCCTTCCTCCGTTTTTCTTCTTACCCACTTCTTGCCCCCCTCCCCCCCCCCTCCCTTCTTCTCCCCCGGTCAATTTGAATCTGTGTCAATTTACTTAGGGTTCCGGGGGCTTCAGTTAATAATTTTTTTCAATCCTAATTTACAAGTTCATCACCACTTGTTCACTTGTTGAAAATTTTCTGGGTCTTTTTTATTATTGGTTATTTAACCTTTCCAATTCCAGAACTGTTTGGTGGCCCTGGTCGTCCAGGATTCCGACAGGCCAAGAGCAACAGGGCAATCAACCATCCTTACCTATGTCACACATCGCTCACGACAGACAACCAATTATTTAACCTCATTCTCAACTCGACAGTACCGATCACTTGGTGGTGGCGCTTTACATTCTATAACTAATACAGAAGAAAACGGGAGGCCGGGGCATAGCTCGAGCATATCACCGCGGTTGCGATTACGGCGACTTCTCGTACCTCTCTTGTCCGTCTTGTCTATGTATGCCTGGGGCCATTTATCGACTCCATTGTTGAATCTAGCGTCGGCTGCCCACATTGTGAAACGACAAGCACACACGGCCCAGTTTCGGCCTTTCACTATCTACTTGCCACGCCTTCGATAGCTCTTCTCGTGATTTCGCAGCTGAAGTGGAGGATTAAGTCTGGGTTCCCACGCGGGTGTTTTCGTGACAAGGAGCCTAGCGCTTCAAGCCTGGCTGGCGACGTCTGTGCTCATATCACTCCATTGCCGATTCTGCGCGCCCGCTCATGCCGTGCCTGTGCTTTTATCACTGATCTAGAAGGGTGCCTGAGCAGCCTGTCGGCCGTCAAGTAACGAGCTTCCTACTTGTCTGGAAATGGGAAGCTTTTTGTCAGTGTCAATCCACCACCAGAGTAAGGACAAGCGCTCCCGCCGCTCGAGACGCTTGTCAAAACCACCTCCGAAACAAGCAACCGTGGAATCGGTCACCTCCGTATCTCATCAACATCAGTCTTCTGTTGGTAGTTCGTCTGCGTGCTTGCATCCCGCAGCTGCATGGCAAGATCCCTGGACAGGGGCATCCATACCCATCAACACGCATAATCCGGCTTCGAGCGGACGAAGATCACATTCTCTCCCTTCTGTGACTTCTCATCCCAGAACGCCGTGGCCTTCCGTCAATGCACCCCGAAAATGCCAGGCTATAGCCAGAGAGCCACAGGGCATGGATTTGCGCTCACCCACTGTCGCTACTGTGGAGCCCTCTGCTGTGGATAGACGAGCATCTCTCCAGCCCTCCGGACAAGGTACCGTTCGGTCCGCCGACTTTCGAGCCTCTCCGCAATCACCAATTGACCGGCACCCCAAACGATCCTATTCGACCACTTCGCCACCTCAAAGAACGCACAGTGCTATTAGCCGCAGTACTATCGAAGAAGCGAAGTCTTCCAACACGCACTTCATGGTCGACAGTCAAGGCTTCTCTCTGATCCGCCGACGGTCTCTATTGACGCGGCCTGGGGTTGCGACACGACGATCGACCAGAGACCCGGCTCGAAGACAGCCTCCAATGCTTGACCATGGGAATGGCCATCTAACCAACAACTCAAATGTGTCATGTCAGGCGCACGAAAAATTCGCAACTCACAATGAAGAGAGCACGACCAGACCTGGTATTCCATCGGGGCAGTTACGCCCTCCTACACCGAATGAACTCGAGTACACACATCTAGGAGCACTGAAACTAGGATCATTACGCGTCGTGAATGGCTCCACATCTCCATGCCCCAGTGACCGAACTAGGCTTAAATACCCCGAAGGTCCGTCACCGAGCCTGCACCCAGGATGTGCATCTGAAGAGGAGTCCATCAAGCTTGGGCGCCCAGACTTGCGACGCACTAAGACTCGGGTTTCTTCGAATAATAATGAGCAACTTGACTTGTTGCCTCATCGAACCGACATCAGTCCGAACAATATGACTGTTTTCGAACCCTGTTTACAGGTTACTGGGGGTGAGTTGGCGACCGCCCAGGCCCATCTGCAGAGTCTTGCCAGGCGTAGTTCAGCTACGTGCTCCTTACAGATCCCCAATAGTGCCGATTATGCAGAGAACGAGGATGTTCCGACAAGTCCATTTTCTATTGAGAAATCGCCCACTGTTCCAGACTTATTGAGACCGTGTATCTCAGTAACGAACGCTCAAGGCGGCTCTGCGCCCCCAAGTGATAGAAAAGATGCTTTGTCAAAGCAGGGTTACTCAAGGTTGAGTAAGCGCAGAGGGTCTCGCTATTCGCATCATATGGCTGATAACGGACATTTCCATTCCTGTCTGAATAATCAAGCTATGAGGTCGTCGCCTTCTCAAGTGCTTGTGGCGCCTGCTACTCCATCGTTTAGTCCTACGTCTAGTAATAGGGCGAGAAACGTTCAATCTTTACGATTTACAGATCTGCCAGCTACAGAAAAGCAGCTTCGAATACATCGACAATTGAGTCTCCAAGCTTCTAGCAGTCGCCGCGAACTTGAGGTTTCTGACCAGCCAGCTTTTGTGTCTTCTATGTGTCACGACTTACAACAACGACGTCATTATAGGCGTGCCAGGAGCACATCACTTACAGTCTCGTGTGATCCTGATCGTTTAGTGTCATATCCACAATACTGTGGCCAGCTGCGGAGCTATGAAGGCGTCTCTTCTAACCTCGATAGTACTGACTCAGCGCAGCGATTGAAGACGAATATACCACGGTCATCTGATAATATACCTCAGCGGACTGGGCACAGGAACTTTTTTCTTGATCCTGGCATGAGCAATGACAACATTCGTGACTCTCTTCCACTCAATCGGAAGGGGACCATGTCTCATCCGAGCATTGACTCTTACTTCGCGTTGCGCCTGCCTGCTGGAATCGCAGGCAGCAATTTGCATTACAATAGTAGGCCATGCCCATCCTTGTCCGAAGGCAGCTCGACATCAACTTCTCAAGTTGGCGCAACGAGCGATTGTGGGACTCTGAGTGGCGCCAGCAGCAGTAGCAGAAGCAGCACACTTAGCGATTCTTGGCTTTCCAAAGCGACCACTAGCACATATCATCTGCCAATTTCGGAAGAGAAGTTGAAGCCATTTGGAGAGAGCATGAAGGCTATGATCCCGGACTTTCCGCGGGGTCGGACCCGAAGTCGAACCATCGAACATCAGGGGCGCCGACTGACGAGGCATTTATAACGTCCACGGCCTTTTAGGTTGTTGATGTCCACTCACCATTCCTTGATACTACATTCCCTGATCAACCCAATGCCATCCATGCTTCTTGAATGGACATTTCTCTTCGCTCTCTATACCTCTTTTTATTTTATAATTCCTGCTCCGCCTTCTCTTTGTTATGCTACCAAACATCATATTTTGTCTTGATTTTTGTGTTACCGTCTTTGCTATGATACCATCTTCCTTCAACTGAGTTGAGCTTTGCTTTGGCTATGCTAGCAACCCTATACCACGTGTCTTTCTTGCACACATGTACAGCTTATCTGTTTCAATGACTGTCAGATCTGGAAGACTGCCAAAATAGTCAGAGAACAGTTCTACATTCTTCTGATCGGCCATTCTTCTTTCTCATATCGTTCACATGTTTTCATTCTATGCATCCTTGTCAAATGTATAAGTTTACTTGGTGGTCCTTGGTGCGGAAAATCAGGTTACCACTTTCCATACATCATCATGGCGCTCGTCCTCATTCTGTGAGGACAATTGCCTGATTGTGTGACTCAACGGCCCTTTGGGCTTTTTCTGCACTGATGTCCTACGCGTACGAGAGAAGGGAAAAAAAGATCAAATCATAAGTTGCAAGAAGCTTGATTATTGCTCATCGTAAAAGTACCCTATAGCATATAGAAAACAACAAAAACCCTCAAGCAGATCCGACATAAACATGCCCAAAGAAGTACAGAACCAGACTCCCTACTATGCAATCATGTCAAGGCTCACACATCCGCGCGAGGTGCCCGAAGGATTTCCGCGCGTATCGACTCCTGGAAGACACCATGGTCCAGAATTGGAACGTCCAAGCTCGATGGTCTATTCGATGCGGATTTTCTTCACCTTCGGAGCAGGTTCTTTCGGTATTGAAAGTGACAAGATACCATTTCTGAGATTGGCTTCGACCAAATCTTGTTGCACCCTCGCTGGAAATGTAAAGACGCGGTGGAATCCGCCGGTCAACCGCTCAGATACCCAATATCTGCAGGTAGACTGGGTCTTTTTTGGCGTCACTAGTTGTTGCTTCGATGAGTTCTTCAAGGATTGGGACGTCGTAGCGTCATCCGCTTCACTCTCATCCTCCACGGTTGGCTGGAAATAAGACTTGGCAACGGGGGTCTGATCTTGTCCTTCCTCGAATGTCTGCCCGTTATGCCTCCTAACATGACCTTTTATCACTAGTGTAGTTGGGTCCAAGAACTCGACTTGAATATCGTTGGATTCAACGCCAGGTACTTCTGCAGATAGATGAAAAGCATCGTGTGTTTCGAAGACATCGGATTTTAGCGATATGGGTTTCTTTGTCGGTGTTATCTTCGCGCGGCTAGAGCGATGACAGTCGTAGTCATCTAGAAGCCGGAATAGAGGAGAGATATCATTGGTAAAATGAGGAAAGTAAGCCATGGTGAATTTGAGTATGGGTGGTAGAGCCAATTCTTCGCAGAATTATTGACTATTTGACTTCAATAGAATGACGAATGAGTGAAGCTAGAAGACTTCACTGTTGTTGCGGTTTCTGTAAAGATTGAATGGTTATCAGAAAGACTCCTTGCCATTGTGCTAGCTATATACTTCATCTACCATCGTGTTATCCAGCAGCTAAGTGCCAAACCGAGAACTGGCACGAGTATTCTGGCACTATCTAGAGTGTTGATAAAGCTCATATCCGTTCCTACTCGGTCCCTCTGGACGATTCCATAAGCTTCGGGAGGCGGCTGGCGGCAACTTGACTTAGGTGTAGGTAGTTAATCAGCCTGGATGACGTAATTGAGTCACCCACTTGCTGGCCAACTGCCCTGTAAAGCGCCTTTGAGCTGACAAGTTGGTCAAGATAAGCGTTTCGCTTGCACCGAATTGAAGCATCACCGCATGGATTAGCGGATGTTGCGTATGCCCGGTGAAGAATACATCTCGACCTGTCGGTGCCCTTTGCGTAGCAGATATTCAATCGCATTGAAGTCTTTTTTGCTGATTTTCATGTGCTTCTGAAACTCGGTTCTATTGTATAATCAGTAGTGTATAGTGAGCGGTTTGGTCTCAATGCACCTGGCGTATATTTTGAAATTCTGTCGGGTTTCCTAGTACCGAGAGGGCATCGACCATATCAGACACTTCTTCCATTACCGTTGTTGCTTCGAAGTCTATTTTGACTTACAACAGGCTTCTTTCGGATTTCTCTCAAACATTTCCGATAAAGAGATAGAACCTCCCGCTGAAGACCTGACAACCGTGCCATTGAGTCTGTGCAGCGATCTTCTGCGCAGGATTGTGTGAGTGGGAAAGTCACACAGTGCGGAGCAATGTTCAGGGTGAAGGATCTATCTTGGTAATGCAGACACGGATCCATGATCAGGAAGCTGGGGTTAGCTTACCTTATCGTATTCTGACTGTCCTCCGCCCTTTTCCCGACCGAGAACGCTTAGTTACCCTCCGCAACCTTCCCCGCACTACTATGATTTGCATATATATTCTCATATACACGGATACCTATACATGCGGATAGGGAAGCAATCTCTATACTTGCTAGACTTCTGTGTTTACCAAATAAACGATCTTATGCCGATGGCTACATTCTCTGTAAGTCCCAGAGTACTTAGTCTCGTATCATACTGAGTACCAGGCAAGATCCCGGTAGTGTCCGAGCGCCACTATCCTTAGCTAAACAGCCCCTTCATTTCTTCCTTAAAGATTTGAGAGAGCACGTGATAAGGCAATGATCTCATGCCGCCGGCTTTAACGATGTTGCAAAGGCCACATAAGAACGTGTCACTCAGGGTGACATACCAGCAGGCTTGTGTTACGAACCAGATTGCTGAAGTGGGAGTGCTTCTAGGCGCTGGAGGGAATCGGTACTGCTCGCTGCCTGGGCCTCAACTATGAGAAACACGCGAGTTGATTGGATTCGCCTTTACTCAAATTTCCAGTTCTCATCTATAAATCCGTTACATCTTTCGCCATTCCGAATGACAATATTCCATTCCAGCCTCCTCTAAGACTACATGCCACACATAGGGCCTCAGGTGTTGGCATGAGAGCATTAAGGCCAAAGGATGGCGATTTAATGAAGGTCTCTCTTGCACCTGAGGTCAGCACCTGCTGGACCAAGGTAAAAGCAGCGTCATAAAGGCCGCCCACAATGCCCGAGGCGTTTTAACGGCATGTTATAGAGAATCGCAACGAGGCACTTTCTTCTCACATTACTTGATCTATCTCAGGCTCCTAAGGTCCTGTTACACAGGTGAGAGCAAATGTAGTAAGCTCTGGAAGTGAGTTCATGCATCATAAATCAACAAGTGAGCTAGTTAACCTGAGCACCGTAGCCTTTGATGGTTTCAGCGAATGCCCAGCTCTGAGCCTCGACCTTCTGATCCTCCTGGAACTCAATCCCCTGAGGTGTGATGACTGCTATGGTGTACTTGTCAAGGCTTCGTGCGTCGCGGTACCAGAGAACCTTAAGGCACTCACGGAGCGCCGCGACTGCCTCATCCTTAGTGATCTCCTCGATAGGTCTCTCCTCAGGAAATAGCCGGCGAAGGATTGGGAGAGCCAGGTGGGCGCCAAAGCCAGTTGCCAGATGTGGTGCGGAGAATGTGGTTCCCAACAGATCCGCAGAGCTGAGGAACGGCTTCTTGTCATCATCGAAGCCGGCAACTAAAATGTGATTCCAGAGGGGATTGAACTCAGATCGCCGCTTGTAAAGGACCTTGGACAAGTAGGTGTGGAGGTTTTTAGCGTTGAGTGTGTTGCCGTGGGCCGAATAGTTTTCTCTGATGTCAATGGAATCCAATAGACGATCAATGTACTGCATGTCGGAAATATCCCCACTAAAGCCAACGACAGCAGTGTCACCAAATTTACGGAGTCGTTTGACGTCGGTAAATCGAGCGAGAGATCCGTATGAAGCTATATTCAAAGAAGAATATGTTAGGCAAGCAACTCTATCACTTTCAGCGGTGTTTGAAACTATACCCAGGTTATCACTAGCGAGAACACATCCTCCGTTGAATTTGATTCCCAGTATCGAAGACCCAGTGACTGCTGGTGACTGGGTGTGGGTTTTGGGGCCGGTAGTCTGCAGGTATGAAGGGTTGTAAGGGCCATACACGTCGTCCCGGGGCTGGATATGGTTAGCTTGATAGAGGCAGCGGAAACTGAAAGTGCTCTTACCCGGCCCCAAGCTTCGGGGAAATGATTCATGATGAGTACAATGAATTATAGAAGCGTGAAGGATTGGAGGTGAAAGTAGTCGGATGAAAGTTGATGCTGCTGGTGAAGGGTGTTGGAGGTAGAATTGAGGCAGTTGAACAGAGGATAAGATAGGCCAGTGTAGGTTTGGCCGCGTCGTTGCGTTGCTACCTTGGCGTAATCCCAATCTACTACCACACCGCCTTCTTGATCCGGACTACGGCAGGCTGTACGTCTATGAAGTACTCCGTACAGTACCTAGCTACGTAATCCAGAGTCAACAGCATACGGGTATTATAGGGTGTACTACTGATGAGCGCCGGCACCTGGCTCATGGTCTTGCTAATTTCCACTGGGCTCCAGGTTTTAGCCTAGCTACTTTATGGTGCTCGGGCGGACCTCGCTGTCTTGTTCGTTTTGTAAGGCGCTTCATCCTATGCCCAAAATATCTCGGACTGGATCAATCTCAGCCGCTTGATGTACAGTATCTACCGGTTGTCGCTCCTGCGCAGCCTCGCCCACGCCGGAGACCGCGGCTTTATCTTGGAGCAGCTGGATGTGGTGCAGCCCGCGCGCGAATTTGTTTTACCTGCCCTGCTCTACCAGCCACTGTAAGTGCCAGCATGATTTCTGCAGAAACCGTATGAAATGCCGCAGAAGATATCCCAATGAAGTATCATAGCCTACCTGAGGGATCGTTATATTGATTGACCTCATGGTTGAATCCTTCTCAGTACTTAGTATCACCATCTAGCAGTGAATCATATGGCACTGGTTTGCGACCCTCGGGTAGGCCATCGTTCGAAATCTCGATCCCGTCTCTTTGAAAACTCAAATGCACAGATACCTACGGGGTCAAATTTTGGCATAGCCACTAGATACCCGTGTAATCCCATCTTTCCATTGTTTTCCATGCCAAATGCTGCAATTTTACAGCTTTATGCACGTTGCGAGTCTTCATCCTTAGGACTTTTAAAAGTGGATGTTCTTATGGTAAGGAAGATGTGGCAGCCACAAAGGGAATCTCCTCTCGTCGTCGTACTGACCTCCTCTCGTCCATCGTACCCTGGATGTCCCGTTGTGCCTGTCTGATTTCTTCCGTGAACCCCCAACTTGGTAAGCCTGGCGCATTCCATATTGCTGATGGAAGTGAAGCCTGATATTGTTCCTGATTATCAATTCCTGCATGGTTCATCATCGCTTTCAACAAACTGGGATTTCTCAAGGACGCAGAACCCGAAAGCTTTTCGTTGAAGTGGACACCCTGTTTCTTCAAAGACAAGAAATGGGCAAACTTTGCATCTGCGGAGGGGTCAGGCGAGCTTGGAGGTGATGGAGGGATGTCTAAATTCGGGACAGGAGGAAGTGTTAAATCATGAATTATAGAACGAGATGCCGACAGTGTCATATAGTGATTCGGTGCGAATTTTTGTGCATCGTAAGGGCTCTCATGCGATGGACCGAAGATAGGTCTGTCAGAATCTGGCATGGAAACATGCTCTAATATTGTTTCTTTCTCAGGTACTGCTTCAAGCATATTTTATTAGACCATAAAGAGTCCTAGAATAACGGAGAAGTTCGCATAATCACCTGGATTTTGAGTTGCCTGTGGGGTCCGAGCAAGATGTCCCTTTTTCCCTTGCTAGCCAGGTACATCAGTGAATATTCGCATACGGAAGATGCTTTTTCTTTTTACCTTAGTCTTGGTGGAAATTGGATTGGGATCAGCTTCATCTTCACTGCTGCTCCCATAGGCCGCAAGCCCCAACATCTCTTCGCATGTAATACTCTTTTAAGGACCTGTAGCTCTGAGCTACTAGAGCAATCATGTAAAAACACAATAAAACATACAGGCTGGAAGAGATGGACTGCCTCTGTAGGGCGTTATCATGAGATTAGATAATGACGGAGGGTGAACGGACGATACAATTCTTAGATAAGCACAAGGCAGCTTAATCGCGTCAGCAGCCCAAGCTCAGCTATTCCTTCATCATCCAACCTTCTTTCCGAATCTACCGCTTGCCGTGACGGTAATTGAAAGTGCTGCAAGAATACATATAATCTTTCTACTTTGCATAGTATTACCATCCCCCTTTATCTTCCGTCCTCTCAACAACTTTTTGTTCCTTACGAGCAATGGCGACTTTGCTCAGTCAACCTCACGGTGAAGCCATCGGATATTCCTTCACTCAGTCAACGAGTGTTCCGAACAAAGAGCATTCATTCTACCCGTAAGGCCCCTCTTCTATAGACTTACGATCACAGAAAATTAACACAGAGCTAGGTACACTGACAACGGCGGTTCGACCTTGGGCATCACTGGCTCCGACTTCGCTATTCTTGCTGGTGACACTCGCTCCGTTGCAGGCTACAACATCAACTCTCGATACGTTCCGAAAGTTTTCAAAATTGGAGGTGATGATGAAACTGGCGAGGGTGCTCACATTCTTCTGTCGGTCGTGGGCTTCGCCGCGGATGGCCAAGCACTCAAAGAAAGACTAGACGCTGTGGTAAAGATGTACAAGTATCAGCATGGGAAGTCAATGTCCGTCGGAGCTTGTGCTCAGCGCCTCTCGACGATACTGTATCAGAAGCGGTTCTTTCCCTACTACGTGCATGCTATTCTAGCAGGCTTGGATGAGGATGGCAGAGGTGCATTGTACAGCTACGATCCAGTAGGGTCGTACGAGAGAGAACAATGCAGAGCAGCTGGGTCTGCAGCGAGCTTGATCATGCCATTCTTGGACAACCAGGTCAATTTCAAAAACCAGTACATTCCTGGCAGTGGCGAAGGCCATGCTCTGGAGCCCAAGAAAGCAGACCCACTGTCAAGAGACACAGTTGAGGAGCTCGTACGGGATGCTTTCACAAGTGCCGTTGAGAGGCACATTGAAGTTGGTGATGGTCTACAGATGATGGTCATTACTAGCGGAGGTATAGAGGAGATCTACTATCCTCTGAAGAAGGACTAAATAGAAGCGTGTCTTCTGGCTCCAGTATGACTTACGAAGGATAGCAAAAGTGGACGGCATCCTGAGTATTGGGATTATTACTGAATAAAGGCTATTTTCAAGTTAATGCTGTGTCATCGTCTCATTGAATTTATTGAATCAGATATCACCTTTTCCACAACGCCAAAACCATGTCATAGGACAGAACAAGATGGAATAAAAGCAAAGGAGAGTCATGCATAGGTGATCAGAAGCGCTCCTTCATACGTGAAGCCACTTTACGGAGGTTGCCATACACTTTTCCCTGTTTACAAGTAAGCAGGTGCTGTGTGCTGAAAGGATGTGAGTACTTACTGGTGGGCTACCCATGATCAGGTTGACAATGGCCTGCTGAGCAGCTTCGACGTTCTTGATGCCGCCTAGCAAGTGGATTTTTTGGTCTGCAATGACGATCCTTGTACGGGTGGCATTCTCTATTGCAAATTTGGTTCGGCCATCTTTACCAGCGCAGCGTCCAATTGCACGGCTGAGGTGCTCTCCATTGAGAGTTTTGATATCGCGGATCTCAAAAGAGCGGATGTATAGATCGTCTAATCTCAACAGTGCAATAGCATCATCGACATCAAACCCTAGCGTGAAGGCCTTGACGAAGTCTTCACCTTTTTGCAGGGCCTCTGTATCAGTCGTAAATCGAGATGTACGAAGTTCGACTGCTCGATTCTTAATGTTCATCCTCACTTGCAATTTGAGATGTTCAACAAGCGGAGGGTACACTCGTGGCCAGCTAGCTTTCAGTGGAGTCATTCTATGCGGTGGAACGGGGACTTTTCGGGTTTCGACTCGGTGGACGCGGTGGACGTCTTTCGCCGGGGTGAAAACAGGCCGGCCCTCTTCATCAATATGTACATCAGCGTCGTGGGCTGGATCAGATGCGAAATTAAACGCCGGTGCGGCCCCATCAGCTGAGGGCTGGGCATCGATCAAGATTTCCTCATCTAGGTCTGGAAAAGCTGTTAGCATTGTTAAGCGACATTGGTCGGCAAGATAATGACTGACCTGCCGCAGGTGCGACTGATGCCGCTGAGGCAGCGGCAGGTTGCCTGATAGCTGTGGGTGCAGGCATTGTGATTTGGTTTAACCCGGTGAAGTGAGACCGAGTCGAATAAATCAAATTAGTGATGTGTGATGTGACTGAAGAAAATTCGGGGAAACAGGAACTCAGAGCCATACGAGTCTTGGCAGTATCGATCAGTATGACTTAATGCACATCTATTCATATTACAAGATCTCGCCTATCAGACTGCTGGAGAATAACATAACATAAGCAGATTATGCAATACACGTGACCCGCAATACTCTTGTATTTCCTCATTGTTACTAGTGTGTCCGGAGACAGTATCAAAGACCCAATGGGCAAATTCCTGCCTTTGCGAACTGGTGCATATTCATTCCGCCTCGGATTTATCAATTCACTTACTGATTGCTGGCTTGCGCCTCTAGCAAAACATTCATTTTCCATTATGTGAGGAAGTAGATAATGTCTGGCTATTTCACACGCAGGCTGTACGCCATCCTAAACCCGCTTCTCGGGCATGGATCGCAAGCCAGTCGCACACCACTGAATCCAGGCAGTCTCTCTTCGAGGCTTTTCTCTCAATGCCCGTCCGCAAAGAAACCATATCACCCCTTTCAGATCTCCAACAGGGCTACGAGACGCTTTGCCTGGGGGGGTTGTCTTGTGCTCGGAGTTTCGCCAAGCTCAACTGCAGTGGAGACTCGAACAACATGTACTAAATCTCCAAAGAGATTCTCATATCACCTTGACCGCAAATCATTTTTGATATCCTTTCAGAATGCGTCAAAGCGCAAACTACATACACACAATGATGAGAGCCATCAGACGAAGCCCCGGAAAGATGACTGTGAACCTACTCGTGCTACTCGCACAAATCAACCTATGCCCAGAGGCGACAGAGGCGACAAACATGAGGTCACGCAAGGCCGCGACTACATGCAACCTTCGAATGATCCACACCAAAAGCTATATGCTAATCGCCATTTAATCAACCGCTTGCCGCACATGCCTCATTTGCATCGACCCTCAAAGGAAGAATTGCTGGCTGCGGCAAATGGCTTTTGGTCCAGACTTAAGGTGCGATTTAAGTGGTTTTCAATACGGAGCGTTCGGCCTTTCAACTTGGATGAGATCACAGCTCTTTTCTCTTGGGTGCTTCTAGGGCATGTAGTCTGGGTTGTATTGGGCACAACAACTTTTTTTTCGTTGCTTATCATCGCAATCAACACGGTTTTCGCTCAAGGTCTGTCACCTAGTACCTTTGCCGTTATCTTTTTATCACTAAATATGCACAGAAACATTAGCAGGGTGGATAGGTAACTATCTAACCAAGTCATCTGGGGTGAAGGTTGTGTTTGAATCTGCTATTGTTCCTAAATGGAGAGATGGCGTGATCACGTTCAAGAACGTTTTCGTCTCAAGGCGACCAGGCCAAGGGACAGGAAACGTCACTAAAGGATCGTCGAAGACCGCTGCGGCCGTAGCCGCAGCTGCAGCTCTCGGAGGAGAACCCAGTCATGAGCTTCCCGATCAGCGAACTCCGTCGGACGAGGTAGATACGAATTATACGCAATTCGACGTGTCAATCGAAACCGTCAATGTTACCCTGTCGTTCACCAAATGGATAAACGGCAAGGGGCTGCTTCGCGATGTTGAGGTAAGAGGCATCAGAGGAGTCATTGACCGCCGTTATGTTCATTGGTCGGATGATGACCTGGACCCCAAATCGTACCGGCATGAACACCACCCCGGGGACTTTGAGATTGACTCATTCAGAATGAGCGACGTGTTGGTGACAGTCTATCAGCCGGACGGTTTCAGGCCCTTCCCTGTTAGTATCTTCTCTTGCGACTTGCCTCAACTGAGAAAGCAGTGGCTCCTATATGACTTTATGTCGGCCAACATGATGTCTGGATCATTTGACAATTCACTCTTTACAATCCATCCTCGTCAAACACACGGCTTTACCGGTGCACAGCTTGACAGTGTCACTGAGGACGGCAAATCAAGCCCGTGGAAAAAGCATAGCAGGATACGTGTGGACGGGCTCAACATTGACCATTTAAACCGTGGTGTCCAGGGACCTTTCTCCTGGATACACGAGGGTACAGTCGATATCGTTGCCGATATCATGTTTCCGGCCGAAAACGACGAAAGCCTTGCTAAGGTTATGGCCGACTTTTATGATCGGCTAGAGGCCACCGTCACTTCGAACAATCACCACGACCCGGCATTGTCCAAGTCCCCACCTAGCGATATCGCTTCTGAGCATGATAAGCGTTTCCTGGTTACTGATCTACGTCTCCACTTGAACAATGTTAGGGCAGTGGTCCCCCTGTTTACACGGGATTTGTCGTACATCAACAATGCACTAATCCGCCCCATTGTTGCATATATCAATTCAAGGCGAACGTTCATTCCTGTAAATTGTCGCCTTGTCAAGCGGGTCGGTGATTTCGATGGCAGTTGGACGACGTTTGATAGCGGCTTGATGGACGACCTTTCGGCGGCAGTAAGTTCACATCACAGCGGATCAAAATACTATGCTAATGTCAATCAGGTCTACGATGCTTTCGCTCGAGATGTTGTGGATGAACAAGCTCGGAAGCGTCGTTTCAAGAAAGTAGGCTTCTGGTCACTTCAGCTAGCCGCCCAGGCCATCTTCATGGGCATGGCAGGAAACATAGCCTAAGTTTTTATTTTTGCAAGGGTTAGTTGGCGTTATCATTGGTGCAGTGGGATACT